GGGGCGATATTCGGCGAATAATTCCCTCGAGGAATCGAAGCTGCCAGAAACGCGAGGAATATCGTCAGCCCTTGCAATCTTTCCGTCATCGTTAACGGACCAATGCAAACGTTCAGAAACATTGCCGATAAGTACGCCACTGTGAGGACCCATTGTACATGGTTGGATCTACTTTCTACGAGATTTTGCGACTCGGCACTAAATTTAAAGGGGACACATGCCAACTTTTCAGAAATTTTTAAATGAAGTTTCATAAGAGGGAGGAATTCTGTTTTAAACATTTATCGCTCCAGTCCACCTCGGCGGTGGAAACATAACTGGGGGACCGTGCACCGAATTATGCGTAGGCCGTATGACGCTTTTTCACGGATGCGGAGGCGGCCATAGCGGTCGAAATTATGCACCATGGATTGATTAGCGAAACAAGTAATCTGGATATGTAATGCTAATTCTGTATCGTACAAGGTAGTAACAAGACGGTAAATAGTAAAAAAAATTCACAAATCTGCAAATTCTTTTGTTTTCTAGAAGTACAATTTTTTTAGTTTCGAAATATGTCAAAATAAATATTTCCCCATGTTTAATCCGCCACTGTTAAAGTGAAAGTCGTAGTTATTCTTTGCAAAAACCAAAACACGGCCTCATGATTTGACCAGTATCCCGTTTCAGACTCATTATTCACCTCCTCGTGCCTTCCTCCAATGTAATCAGTTCATATAATCTAAGTGAAATCAATACTGACACAACACCTTTAAATGCACATTCATCTCCAATACTGTTTGCTTGGCCTTATCCTTAGTAATACAGATATATATATTACTGTAATATAGATAATCAAGAAAGCACTTAATTAAAATATCTAATAATTATAAAACAGGCGAGTGAGTCGCTGTGTGGTGTCGTTTCTGAGTGCATGTGCATTGACACACTCCACAACGATTGAGACTGGGACTTTGACACTGGGACTGGAGCTTATCGGATTGGAACTGGTGAGGCTAAGAGTATGTGCTTAGCTTAGGGCGCTTGGGGGGGGGGATAAACTTCACCAAAAGGAAAGAGGATTTCAGTTCGTGGGTCTCGCTATGATGGGAAATCCGGGTTCGAATCTTGTCATGACCGATTTGCACTTATTCCCATTGCACAAACAGACAAACCTAGCCCAACTAGTTTATCTAGGCCTTTTGATCGACAGGCTTCTGTCCTAGTTACTAATAAAGGAGAAGAAGATTCATTTCTATGTATAAATGAATTGACATAGGTGGTTGCCTTATTATTTGCATTAAATATTTGTTTTGGCAAACACGAGCTTGATCAAGATTTGGTGATTCTATTTATTTAACACCTGAATAGTAATGTTAATATACATATAGATAAATATATATGTGACCTGTATACAGATAGTTAAAAATTTAATTTGTGAATAACTAATAGTATAAAAAAGAAATTTTTGTGCTAATTCTCCATTATGAGATAGGTCTCCATAAGGGAGGACCTGAGTTAGGATTTCCAGTTCTATTTCGTTTAATTTTATGCTTCTATTGGATTTCCGGAAATATATACATATAAACTTAATTAGTCAGATAAATTTCGCCAATCCCCTAACTTTAGTCTGGAATGGTGTAAATATGTATCTAATGCACACTTTAAAAGCCTGGTTAAATGGATGCTTAACGATGTACTTTGTGGGGTGACGAGACTACTCATTAAAAGAGATAGCACGGTCAGCGTCGGTAGCGCATTAAAGGCTAATTGCCGACAAGAAACTCTTCTACTAATCACTACCCCGATATGCCAAAAACCTACCTGGGGGAGTCCCTCCAAGGCGTAGATCCTCCTGTGCACTGGGTCCGGTGAATCCATCTTCGCCTGATGGCTCAGCTTGTCGTTGCTGGTGTGGTAGGGGGTTTCACCAGGTTCGCAGGTGGGATTGTGAGTGGACGAGGCTCACATGGCGAAAAGGCCTTGAGACACACTTTGCGTGCCCTTGCACACCCGGGACCCAGATGGAAGAGGATCCAGATGCAGAGCGAGGAGAGATACGTGTTGCACAAGAGGAAGCCAAAGAAGAACTAGGAAATCTATAATACCCTTTCCATATATGAAATGAAATTGGATTAATTAAAACATCGCATGATGGTATACAATTAAAATAATTATATTTTTCACTCAAACTTATTGCCATGTCCGGTGTCCAAAAGTACAGGTATATGAGGCATATCATCGCGCTGATTGCGCGAAACCTAGAAAAAAGCTGTTTTAAAATTTTAGAGAAACCCAAGGTAAATGCTTGTAAATAATTACCTTTGAAACACTACGATACGAATCTAACCACGACAAACTTGTTATAGAATTACTTAAACTAATTCTATATTGCTTGTAGGGGCTTATTTTTTCAAACAATATGAATAGCTAACTAATTTACCCGAAATTTACCAGAAACCCTATTTCATGCTGAATACCTGTTTCTATCAGCGGACTCCTACTGCTTCAAAATGTTGACGCAAAAAATCCTGCTCTTAATTATTGCAACGCTAGTAAAGTCCGAGCTAAACCGTTTGTCAATTTCCCAAGCCCATATAGCTCACTTACTGAAAAATATATGCAATTGCGATTTGCAAATTGTCCACGACGGTATTGACTTTGCTAATTACATAATGCCCTCTAAGGTTACTAGCTTTCCTGTTAGTCTTAAAGTAAATGAGTCAACTTCCCCTGCTATAAATATACTACGGTCACGAACTGTCCTACCGCAATTGATTTTTCTCCTGTATGAAGATCTGATTATGTCAAATGCTGATCATAAATTGTCAATATCAAGTATAGACTTATCCGAATGGATTACCAGGGAAGTTAGCAGACATAATTATCATTTGTACAGAAAGGAAAACATCGGCTCAGAGCGACGAACGTATGAAAAAAAGTATTTCCAGTATGGCAACGACGCATTTGTGATGATTATTACAACAAAGAGGAAAAACGAGTTTAACTTTCCTGTGACATTTGACCGGATACCGGATTTATTCAACACTTACCGCCTCGCTGTATCGTACCTTGCAGAAGACAACTATACCAACAGTGTTTGCGTTATGGCCCACACTAACGGGACTTGGTTAGACTGCCGTCAAATTACTAATTGGGGATCAACGCATGTCTACTATCGCCACTTGGCCAACTGTATTGTGTCTCAGAATGCCCCGATCTTTGTTTGTACAGAAATTATTAATTCTGTCAAGCTAAAAATGGATAACGTAAATCTGTTTGATCGCAAAGATAATTACACGATGGCTGACTGGACTGAGGCAGCGCTATCAAAATTGCATAATCTAACTCAATTAATGAAGGTGGAGGAGTGGACCCAGTGGAGGCCAGGGATTTGGGAAAACCTAGAAAACTTGAGGAAGTAGAGGACAGATTGACTGACTCACAAAGTATGGCGAATGAAAAATAGCTCGAAAGTTGGAAAAACTAAAAATTTGAAAAAAATTTCATGAGATATATCTCGGAAAAAAAGTCCCCTGTGTACTCTGTAATTGTGGGCGCCGAATTATTAAAGTCCTTTTTTTACAAAAATGACTTTTACATGATTTTCCACAGCGAGGCGGTTTTCTCGCAAACTTTCAATTTGCAGGGTACCAAATCCTGCTTTAGGTAGATGTTGGATCCATTTACGAGAAGCTTAACGTGAAACCATACCTAGCACACCTTTTGATCTAACGGAGAAAGACCAGGACAATAAGGGAGGAAGTACACCCGATGACGAATCAATCTGGCGGAAGCGGTTTCACATGTTTTCACATTTTCAAGAGATTTATTTAATAAAAAATGTAAATGTACGGAAAATAATTTGAGAAAAAGTAGTCAAGAGATTTATGTAAACATAGATGCTAATAGACAAAGTAGAATACTAATGTGTCTGTATCGTAAATATGTGTTTTGAGATGACTAACTCCTTGCAATTTATGTAAAAATAACCATCACCTTTTATGGTGATGGAAGGGTTTGAGCTTTCAGTAGATTTGAGATATTTTAGTGATTTAGGTAACTGCTTATAAAATAGATAAAAAAGTGAGAAATTGATTATGAATTGTTGACGATTTTATTCATCTTTGTGAGGAGTTAAGACAAAATTGCACCCTGTGCTTTCGTCCTCCGAAAAGATGGGCATGGATGAAGACAGAATTACACGGGAGCTGTTGTGTTTGATGCTTAATGACTTTTTAGCAACAACACAAACTATTAACAATTAACAAACTAATTTATTGGAACTCAAAAAATTAGTAACAGACTTGACTCATTCGTACACGCACACACACACAGAACCATGATTTCATACATTCATACATAACCGCATTAACCATGGTGAAAGTCCCAACCTGTAAAGTACATACTGAGACACATATACAACAGGAGCCTTGTCATGCTAAATTGCATTTTTATTCTTCACTTGTACACAAACAGGTTACAGGTTGCTCACTACCTGAAGTCCTTTTATTGTATTGTATTGTTCCCTTTTTACGTACTAACTTTTATCTACTTAACATCTACTAAATTTTGTTATATCATTTTTAACTCTATTTTCAATACTAGTCCCACGAGTTCTTTGGAATTGGACATATTGGCGTTGTCGTAACAAAATACAGTTTGTTCTTCATAGAAATATCCTAATTCGCACTTTGACAGGATGAGATTTCTTTATCTTTTATATTTAATTTGATTCATGTTTTTCTATTCTTTTTTAATTTTTATGCATGTCTTCCTTACATGGACTACTTTTTGCTATTTTATTATTATTTTATATTACATTGGTAATCGGCTGTGTACTTTTGGCTAATCAATTTGTAGCCCTCAAAGTTCCAAATTTTAGTTAAATTACCTCGTCATACAAAAATACGACTGGCATTGCCACTAATTATGTATCCCGCTGTTATGTAGTTAATCCACTTTTCTACTATGTAATACTTAAGACACAAACCTTGTTCCTCATTTCTTGCCTAATTTTAGAATTAAATTGAACCCTCTACCTAATTCGGACATTATCAAGCTTTGTTGCATTGATCGCTACATTGTTATCTAAATCCGCAATTCACATAATTCAAAAATTTTTACCTTTGAAATTGCAAAACGACTATACAATTTATATGAACGTGTCAACCCATTGTTAATTAATTTGCTAAGAATATTTCCTACTCAGTCACTACTGCTAATCCTTGGAACAAAATGTTGTGAGCAAGTTGATGGAGATGATAATGGGTGGATACACATATAGAAATACATCCGACCGAAGTGTGGAATACCTGTAGTGAGCTATGAAGATAATTTTAATGATAACGATTTTTGATGGAGACGATTTTTGATGATGACCAGAATAGAATGACTTTTTTTAAGTTAAGAGACTTTGGAAGCTTTTAGAAACTCGTCTGGATCTATGAGAGTGTTGACCATCTCCATCCAGTGTTGGAGCCCTTGCAGAATTACAATTACTTTATGAGGAGCCTAATTTTGGGAAATATAATAATTATGCAAATTCGAGCATATGTACCTTTCCCTTCCTGCTTGGGTCCAACTGCCACCTTTCCGATAGGGTCACAAGTCCCGATGCGGTCGTAATCCAAGCACGTCAAGATCAAATGGGCGTTGGGAAGCTGTTCAGGTTTGAGTTCGAAGGTAAATCTGCGTGTGAAAAGAAATCAAATCGGAAAAAAGTGCATTAATGACAAAGCATGAAGTCATGAACAAACTAATATCAGTCCCATCAAGATCGGATTGTAACACTTGATGCCTTCGCATTGTAAGTCTAACACACCACTTGTCAACAATCTATATCTAACCGTCACTTTCTCACGATTATGCCGAGAGCGAAAATCTGACGCAATATTTCTTCACCGCGACAGACAAAAATACAGGGAAAAATGACAACGATAAAAACTTACGATTCATTAAAATACGGATTTAGTGTGTTCTTTTTCACCGAAGTCTTCTTCTTGGTTAGCTTTTTGCCGTTCAGGAATAAATTAATTTTGACAAATGGATCCTGTTAGAGAGGTTAGCGTAAAAGTTCGGTGAACAATTGGGCCACGTCAGGCGGACTCACGGCAACCTCGCATTGCAACATAATTTGCAGAGATTTTGCAAAAATTTTACTCTGAAACCGTGGGGTTTTTGTTAGCAAATTTACTATCCTACTCAAGTTTTTAAATATTTGGCAAAATACCCTTTCAAAACTTGTAACGATGCAATGCTGTCGTGAGTCCCCCCTGTATCTACATATTGCTTACAGATAATCCACCAAAGTCCATCTTTCTCAAGTTTTTGCATTCCAAAATGCACACTGAAAATATTTAAATTTGTACATTTATATGAATACCATAACGAAACGTTTAATTAATATTGATACCCGTAAATTTTCCAGAAGTTGGGACGTATCGTAGTGAAAAGCACACGTCTCCAGGTGACTCCTAAATAAATAAACAAGACAATGAAAATCAAACCGGGTAAAATTACTTCAACCTCGAATTACAATTATTAATGCGAGATATTTAAAATTAGAATTACATGAAATTTTTTCAAGCACTTCCAGTTACATATTACATCCAATTTTTTAAAGTAATTGAAATTACAAATTACGTCATTGCATTATGGGAGAAATTATTTCATCTTAAAGTTCCCTACTTGTTGACGATAAATAATTTTAAGTACGATTCCTCAGCTTACATGATTTTTATTTTTTCTACAAAATGACCCAGGAATGTAAAAAACCCAATTATAATTAACAAATACATTCAATTATGTAAAGCAACTCAATTTCAAATTACAATTATTAATTGGTAATTGAATTGCAAATTACTTTAAACAATTAGTGGTAATTTGTCACGCCTGATTAGTAATTTCGCCATGCCTGACAAAATCATAGAAATCTGGCGAGCAACAAGATCCCTCAGACTTTTTCACATTATCAAACAGTGGTTAAGTTAGGTAACCATTAGGTTAGTTAACCATTCATGTTAAGAAATGACAATATTTTTTAATTACCTCCGTATCATCGGGTGGGTCCAAATCCTTCCATCCTTCCTGAATTGGCATTAATTTACAATTCCAAGACAAGCAAGTTGCATACATAAAATAATGTTCCCTACCCAACAAACTGCCAAATCAATTTGACACATTGGCAAACGGATCTCTCCAATCTGATCATGTTTCCCAAATCTGGGAGAAAGTCAAAAACACAAAGTTTTAAATATTCCAGAGAGTGAAAGTATCTTCCCTGCCTGTCAAAATCAAAGCATTGAATCATCAACGTCTTTGCCATCATATCCCCAAAAGGAATGTTTTTGAAGACAAATGTCTCATTGAAAGTGGGATTCTGCAATAAAAGTAGGGAAAAATAAATAAAGTTATTTTTACCTTTATCCCAAGTAGTACAACAAATAATTAATTTACCAAGGTTTTCGGATGCACTTTGGTTTTGAATTTCTTTTTCTTATCCCCAGCGAAAAACACTTTCACGTACGGGTCAGAAGTTCCCCCGGAGTCCATCGCGACCAGGTCGGCGGCTTGCATAATGCTCACGGTTAACTGGGGAACGTGTGCAAATTTTGAACAACAGAATTCTCCTGAGATTTTGATACGCCATTTTTGCACTACTTACATTCGTTGTTTTGAAATCGTACTCTAATTTGTAGTTAAGTCTCCCCATTTTATTTGCTTTCGCCGTCATGTTGAATGTGTTGTAAGTTTTCTACTGCAGTTCAAATTATGGAAAACTAAGGCTTCTGGGTACGCAGTATTTAAAAATTGTTGCAAATAAAATAAGCCCCATTAATCGGGTGGTAACTAGTTGGGTGGGATTGTTAACTTAAACGAAACGACGTGGATTTTGGTAACGTGCCAAAACCTTGGTGGTGTCCTAAGTTTTATAGATTTTCTAACAGCTGGAGCACTTTCACCTACTCTTGTGGAGGGTGGAACGTATTTTCAAAATATGCGTTGCTCCGGTATCGATTCCTCATGACATTGAGCGGAGAAAATGGGTAACGGATGTGTAGGGATGACTCGTTCCCAAAAAGGTCCACTCGGACTTTCTCCGATTGGAGAAACTGATGCCAGCCAGCACTCCACTTCACGCCACAAAGTATTTCTCAACATCAACATCACACCAAGTCGAATAAAAAGGAGACAAACATAAATTATTTATACAAATGTACTGCTCACCCATTAAAATCCATTATTTACATGGGGGAGACTCCTGTGCAGTCAGTATTTTATATACGAATTTGTGATAATATTGAATTTCTCGTGAATAATCAATGAATAAAAATCCATTAAAATGACGATGTTATGTGGGTTCTACCAAAGACATCGATTGCGTGAAAATTATGATTTTGGCGTTATGTGGAGCATGTGGAGTTACATTGTTTGAACAGAAAGTAAGTGGGGTTTTACAATGGGAAGCTAAAATATGATTTTGCTTTATACAGAGAGCGTATTGGAAACGTTTGCCATGTTACATAACTCCGGAACGGTTTTGAATTTTGATTCCAAATTTTTAACATAGCAGAACAATACCCCAGATAACACTTTTGCGAAATATCAGCTCTCTAGTTTCAATGGGGGTGTCCCTATTGCCCCCTGAGTGAGCGACAATCATTTGAACACTTTCCAAACAGAAACACCAGTATAATTTTGAAATTACGTATTGTAAAATTTAAATACTAACTGTTTCAAAAACGTGAATGCGTAATGTATCATGAACAAAGATCAAAATTGGCATGCTCAGAAATATTAACTTACTGACCTTAAAAGGCAAACCCCCACCCGAAAATGATAATCGTATTATAGCTAAATGTGCCGAGATTAAATATACATAGTGTTTAGAAACATGCACGTAAATGTGGTGTGGAGGAAATGGAGAGTTGACATCCGAGTTAATCTCTCGCGTAGATATGCATGCAGTTTGGGTGTACGAGGAGAAGCAACTTGCTACGTTTGCCGTTACAGTAAATGCAGTTGCTTCACTCTCGCTCTCAACCTACACAAATCAGCCTATGCAAAATAGGTACCTGAAGCAAAACTTTGTTCACATATGAAATCCATGCATTTATGAACATTGTAAAGTTGCACGGTCAGATTTCCAGAAAGGCTAAATGTATCCGCGTGTTTGCATTGCATAGATGTCTCAAGAAGACCTTCGCGAAGGTTCGCAAAATATCTTGCTAAGCGACCAATGCGACGATGACGGGAATTTTCCATTTTAACATATTTGTCAAAACATGATCACCAATCTTATCGACATTCAATTAATAATTCCCTACTTACAAAGTTAAACAGTGTATTGGGAGTATTCACGTCGCAGTCGAAAATGTTGGTTAGCAGCATAATTTGCAAAGCGTCGCAAGTTTTTCGAATATTTAGAATGAAAAATTAACTTAAGAAATATGCGCATGAACACATGTTAATTTTGCTGAATTGTTTTCGAAAATCTTGTATTTCATTTCGAATATTTCGCAAATTTGCGAAATGATACAATGCCCGAATTTTAGCTCATGTGCACTTACATATCGAACCGTGCTAAAAACCAAATTATTCATAATGTTTTTATTCTCATTAGTAAAGTAATACCAAATCATCTCTAACTTCATCTCCAAATTATTTGCAGTGTAAATATGAGAATTCTCTGATGAGCACTAGTATAGTAACAAGAAATCAATGACGTAACAATATGTCACTGCGCCACTTTTCTTTGAATAGGGGACCACCCGGCCATGCTAAAAACAAAAATTTGTATGTCCTACACATGTACACAACTTAAAGTTCAAGGTATGCCTTATTGTATGAATGAAACCTACTGTCCTGTGTGAATGTATTTACGCCGTTTCTTACCAAATGAATAACTACAACAGCAAAATAGTCAGTCAACCAAAATACATATACGATTCAACTTATGGGACCAATTGCGAATGATAAATACCATATTGATAAATTCTTATAACCGTATACGATCACTAGCCGTGTTTTAATTGTGCACTGACTTCTTCTGTCAGACATCACTCTTGCATTTATTCATCTGCATACATACTTCTTGCGCAACTCTTTCCATCAAGGTTTCCCATGGGAGAAAGTGGACGGAAGAAATTGGTGGAAGAAAGTGGATTTTTCCGTCCGTCCACTTTGACTCCAAGTGGACGAAATGGAAGAAAGTATTTTAGGGCAACTTCAACGTATCCGCACAATTTAAAAAGAGGTTCATATTTATTATTCATTCTAATTAATAAAATTTGACGGGTTTTCGTTTAAAAAATTTGAGTAGATATAAATTATTAATTATCAATTATCACCCTTTGTCAACTATCACATTTAACAGAAGCAAAAGGAATCCGACTATAACTTAACCAGTTGGGGGAGAAATATATCCAAAGGAATTTTGGAATTATTTAGTGTCGGCTTGCAATGTTTTAAAGTGTTTTTGTGTTTTTGAGAAGCACAAATACTCTTGAATTAAGTGCGATTGGATTCCCAAGAATTGGGCAAATTCCATAAAAAATTGGCAATCGTTTTTATACTACACATTCTAATCACTATTTACAAGACACTGCAAGCATCGCTACTCGCCTACAGATTGTATTTTTGTCTCTTAAACTCTGGAACCAATAAATCTTATAAAATAAGATTTTCGTCATAATTGACTACGAATGTACACTGTTTAGGGAAAATATAAGTGTGGGTGTGCCCACATAGTAAACCACACCTCCCTTTGTGTAAAATGAGATTGTCATTACATTGACTACGTTGATTATTAAGGTGTGAATGAAGACGTCACAAAGAACCAGTGGTGTGGGCTGTGTAACCTAGTAGTAAATTAATAAATTTTTCATCATAAAAACGACCACCTATTAGTCGGCTCTTTGTAATAAATTATTATTATCCATATATATTTACGGCAAATTCGTATAAAATTAAACAATGCATTCACCCTAAAATGCATCTCTTCACAACATTATGAAAATACTATATAAGGATCAATGTCCGTAGTATACATTACATCTAAAAATAGTTTTTATTTTTTAATAATTTCTAAATTTAACACATGTAACCAAACATTCATAAACATCATGAATTAAATCCATTATTTGTTCATGTATTACAAAATCCTACCAGGTATTGTATATACCAACTACTACCAATTTAGCTGACATCTTGCGCCCCAGACTCATTAAACAGTCTCGGAATATCTGGATATCCTTCCAAAATTTCACTTTCCACTGTGCTACAAATTACTTCCCTTACTCTATCTTATTTGATGTGTGGATGACATTTTTTTGACAATAAATGCTTTTCAAATTTCAAAAAAACACACTCGCATAAGAATGTGAACCCCACCTTATTATTTTATATACGTATGCTTGACGGAATTAAAGGAATCGTGAAATAAATGTAACTAAATGTGAGTAAAAATGAAACAGCAGTCTCATTACGGCACTGGGTAAAAGGGAGTGACTTTTCTCACAAGGCGGTGAAGATTTGAATTTAAAATTCCGTCATTAGATGTCGGACGGACAATAGGCTGTAATGCTAATAAGCATTTGAAATTTGAAATTCAGCCATTTTTGCAATTTTGTACCGATTTTAAAAATTCGAAATGTTTTGGAAACTTTGGATGATGGGCTACAATATATAATTTCAAATTTTTGAAATTCGACCCCATTGACCTGTAATTAAAGTCACAAGGTCAAAACATGTTGACATTTCCATGGTTCGTAAAAATTGGTTTTCACCAAATTTTATTTAAAATTTCGAAATTAGGCAGCTTGGAGAGTTGCAAAGTATGACCCGTAGGTCTTGTTAAAATTGTGGGTGTGGCTGGGGTTGTAACTAAAATCAGATTTAAATTACTGAATTTTAACACCTGAGGGTCCGAAAAATACTAAAATCCTACCAGGGCCACAACCTCGGACGATGTTAACATTAGCGGGTATAATCCTTCTATCCCCACCCACAGGGGGTGTGCCCATCAGCGCTTTTGGCAGTAATCAATTTAAGTACCTAGTGCGACACCAATAATTTATCGGGATGGAATGGAGACACCGATGGTCAGCTCAAATCACAAAAAACCACACCCCCAAGTGGGTGTGGCCTTGTAGCCTTTTGGCAACATCCACGCAAAGCATGCCATGCGGCACAAATAATTTATCGACATCCAGAGGGGACATCTATCATCACATCCAATTATCCAACGCCACACCCCCAAGTGGGTGTGGCTCCGCACGCTTTTGAAAACATCCGCGCAAAGCATGTCATGCGACACAAATAATTTATCGACATCCAGAGGGGACATCTATCATCACATCCAATTATCCAAAGCCACACCCCCAAGTGGGTGTGGCCGTCGGATTTCACTATTTACGTAGGAAGGTCTGTTGTATGAAGGAAAAATTATTTGACATCAAATGACGATTTTCTCACCCTGCTTCTCCGCCTGCCACGGGTTGCACCTAGTTTTTAAGTGTGATGTTAATTGACATCACGAGAAACTGTTACACCCAAGTCCCCTCAGCCGAAACATAATTTATGGACATTCCTTTGTGAAACACGCTTTTCCACGTACACTCTTAATCTGAAGCAAGATAGTCTGATGAGGCATGCAACTTCAATTACCATAGGTATTGCCCTGCATCAATTTTGAGAAACTGCGAAATTGAGCTTCGGCTCAGAATTTCGAGCGTCTTTCGGAGAAACTTCGATATCTTCAAAATCATCGAAAAAATTCAAACTTGTGTGAGGAAAACCATTCGACTCTATCGTCTTAAAAACTTGTCTTTGATTTTTCACGTAAGCGACGTACTTTAAAGATGTAATTTGATGAGGAATTAAAGATAAATTTGAACTAGCAGTTAGTTATGGAAGCTAGATGCATGAAATGAAGATTGATTTAATCCAAGTCAAATTCTGTTGGCATTAAACAATTTTACAGAGTTGTAAGGATACCAAAATTACTCATGGAA